GGGGGGGAGGGGGAGGGGAGGTGTGTACCAGGATGAGATACGAATTTTTGTTTTGTTTTCTCTTCCTCTAAAGTAGCCAAAGATAATTTGATTAAAACTTGCAACAAAAAGTCATCTGCATGAAGAAAATCCCAGTTTTAGTTGCAGCGGTGCTGTACTGAAAGTGTAGGGCTTTTAGGAGCGGGGAGAGTCTTGTTATTAGACTGATTGCCGTAGCACCTCAGAAGAAAAGCTTGTAAGCCCCAAAGCTTATCCGTCTTCTGTAACAACTGCTCTAATCACAGTTGCTCATACGGACCTGGGTATGATTTGTGTTTTTAATTAATCTTTCAAGGGAATAAATGTCCAAAAGTGATAAGTGGAAGGCTCCAACGGGTGGCACTGAGAAAGAGAGGTTGATCACTTTTAGGATGAGTTAGTTTATTGATCTAAGAGAACAGATGTTTTGGTAAGGTCATAAGTGTTTGGCTTGATTATATGCCCAATTTAGGACATACATCTGCTATGCATTTTACTTAGGTGGGTGACTGCATTCCACCAGGTGGGTTGAGGTAGGATGTAGGAGAATAGAGAAGGAAGAGCTGTCATACGAATTCAAGGTCAGCTTCACCTGGGCAACGTTGGGAGCTGGAAGTTTGCTGCCACAGTTGATGAAAAGAGTTGAGTGAGCCAGGACGGCACTGCGGCCTGAAAAATTCATTGACTCCATACATCATATCGCAGTCTCTGCTGGTGGGTCTCCTGAGTGTCATCAATTAACATGGGGCGCTGGAGCAGCCTGGCCTCACTCAGGTGTGGATGCTCCATCTGCCTGGCCGACCGGAGAGGCTCCCGGGGGAACTCAATTCACACCCCCGGCCCCCGTGAGGATGGCTCAAGCCACTTTGCCTTAGATGACTGCCCACCATATGCAAAGCTTGGCAATTACGTGCAATTTGCTGAATATCTCTGAACATACTGTGGCACAAATACTAGTTATGACAGGAGAGCGCTGTTTGGAAAGATCAGCTGTCTGGGTGACTATTGGGTTAAACATGTCATCCACATGTATAGCACACAGACTGGTTCTACTCGGCTATTACCAGCCAATGCCTCCCCCAGGATGTGCCACACAACATACTTCCACTTATAAACGCAGAAGAGATCAAATAGTTTGGAAAGAATCTACTTCTGTGATTATTGCTACTCTGAATTATAAATGACCCAAAAGCCAGAGCTGTTCACTGCATTCACTTTGCAGACGGGAGTGCTGCTTTTAAGAAATATGATTTTAGAGAACAAAAGGGGAAGCGAGTGCTATGAAAATTTAGTTAAATGTAAATGTGTTAAATGGTACATGAACTAGTCAGGTTTTCATGATTTATCAGTTTTAAACTTCAAAGGCTCTGGTTAGCTTGCATTTTGAGAACTAATGAGTTTATCACAGCCGGTGGGGAAAAATGGTTCAAGTATATCAGCTGTAAATTGGTACAAAGCACTAAAAGGGACATTAGCCTCTAATCAGATTCTAACAGTTCATTAAACCTGCCTTTCCTCGGTGGTGCTTTGTCTTCCCCCCCCCTCCTCCTCCTGCCTTGCGCCTCCTGCAGGAGCCAGCCTCGTCCCTTCGTTCAGGCGGGCCAGACCTCCTCGGGGACACCAAGCAATATCAGCTCATCCTTCTTTGTCTACGAGCTAAACAGCCTAAGGGATGCTTGATGATGGTATATTCCTGGTCTTGCTGTAAAACTCAACTGTGCCGCCTATAAATCGAGAAGGGAGAGGGACGTCTCCTCCTGCAGAATAGGCACTGGGGGAGCCAGGAATGACAGGCTGGCTCCTGACCTTGCTCCACCCCAAACCACATCCAAACCGCTGGAGCTCATCGAGGAAGCCTGACATCCCCTTCTGATAAGTAAACAGTGCACCGCCCTCGCTGGAAAGAGGGATGCAAAGCCTGGAACAATTTCAGCCAGCTGTTTTCGTGGCATCGGAGTCCCTCCGGCTCTTTGCCTGCCTCATGCCTCCAGAACTGAATAAAGATCAAGGTGCACAAAATAAATTGCTGAGAAGACATAGGAAGAGCATTTATTTTTTTTTTTTTTCTTTTTCCTGTTGTGTCACGCATAAAATACAGTAGATACACAGCAGTAGCATAGCATGGACTGGGACATCTCAACAGCTTAACTTGTCTTCATTCACATGTGTTTGGGTGTGGAGGCATTCGGCTGAAAATTACTTGTTCGGTCTGAAATTTTATAACTTAAGCTTTTAGAGCTTTTTATGAACTATCTAAATCTGCTTTTTAAGAAAAAAAAAATACAGATTGCATTTGCTGTTGCTTTTGCTTATCTGCTTTACTGTCAAGTTCCTGCCTGCCCTGTAGTATTAAACCGCAGCTGTGTGTGTGCTGTAAGACACGGGGTTCAAAGGGAGGGTGACGGCGATTTTAAGCGGGTCATTGGCTCTGCTTCTGGCCCCGTGTTGGAGCATGGGCATATCAGTTTCCCTGCTTTTCAGCTTGTTATTTAAATTACAATAAAGTAAAGGAGTATACAAAAACAAATAGTCGCTGCGCTATTTATGTCTGTGAAAATGAAGATCCTGGGATGAGGTGCATTAATTGGAAAAAAAGAAAATACTTAGTCATTTGAGTTTTTAAAATGTATTTTGGAAGCTCCATTAGGATAGACCGTTTTTCTTAAAATTCCCCTGAAGCAGCCACTATAAGAAGCAGGGCTATGAATGTACTCCTTGTTCATAATG